TGTTTACATCAGTGTTAGGCTTTTTGGCGGGATTGTTTACATCAGTGTTAGGTTGTTGGCGGGATTGTTTACATCAGTGTTATGTTGTTGGCGGGATTTGTTTACATCAGTGTTAGGTTGTTGGCGGGATTGCTTACATCAGTGTTAGGTTGCTGGAGGGATTGTTTACATCAGTGTTAGGTTGCTGGTGGGATTGTTTACATCAGTGTTATGTTGTTGGCGGGATTGTTTACATCAGTGTTATGTTGTTGGCGGGATTGTTTACATTAGTGTTAGGTTGTTGGCTGGATTGTTTACATCAGTGTTAGGTTGCTGGATGGATTGTTTACATCAGTGTTAGGTTGCTGGTGGGATTGTTTACATCAGTGTTAGGTTGCTGTTGGGATTGTTTACATCAGTGTTAGGTTGTTGGCGGGATTGTTTACATCAGGTGTTAGGTTGCTGGCGGGATTGTTTACATCAGTGTTAGGTTGTTAGCGGGATTGTTTACATCAGTGTTAGGTTGTTGGCGGGATTGTTTACATCAGTGTTAGGTTGTTGGCGGGATTGTTTACATCAGTGTTAGGTTGTTGGCGGGATTGTTTACATCAGTGTTAGGTTGTTGGGGGATCGTTTACATCAGTGTTAGGTTGTTGCGGGATTGTTTACATCAGTGTTTTGGTTGTTGGCGGGATTGTTTACATCATGTTAGGTTGTTGGCGGGATTGTTTACATCAGTGTTGGGTTGTTGGCGGGATTGTTTACATCAGTGTTAGGTTGCTGGTGGGATTGTTTACATCAGTGTTAGATTGCTGGCGGGATTGTTTACATCAGTGTTAGGTTGTTGGCGGGATTGTTTACATCACTTTTAGATTGCTGGCGGGATTGTTTACATCAGTGTTAGATTGCTGGTGGGATTGTTTACATCAGTTTTAGATTGCTGGCGGGATTGTTTACATCAATTTTAGATTGCTGGCGGGATTGTTTACATCAGTGTTAGATTGCTGGCGGGATTGTTTACATCAGTGTTAGATTGCTGGCGGGATTGTTTACATCAGTTTTAGGTTGCTGGCGGGATTGTTTACATCGTTTTAGATTGCTGGCGGGATTGTTTACATCAGTGTTAGATTGCTGGCGGGATTGTTTACATCAGTTTTAGGTTGCTGGCGGGATTGTTTACATCAGTTTTAGATTGCTGGCGGGATTGTTTACATCAGTTTTAGATTGCTGGCGGGATTGTTTACATCAGTGTAGGTTGCTGCCGGGATTGTTTATATCTATGGGAGAGAATTTGGTTTCAAGGTTGAAGTTCCTCCGAATGACGAAGAACAATTATATTTCTGGTGTCTAAGCATTTCTCTTTCTTTACCCGTCAATTCTTTTTAACTGGTAGCTAAAGAAAAGAAGAATTTTGAAACCAGAAACCTTAATTTGAGGGACTGACTACCTCATATCAAGACTGAGGGACTGACTACCTCCTATCAAGACTGAGGGACTGACTACATCCTATCAAGACTGAGGGACTGACTACCTCCTATCAAGACTGAGGGACTGACTACATCCTATCAAGACTGAGGGACTGACTACATCCTATCAAGACTGAGGGACTGACTACCTCCTATCAAGACTGAGGGACTGACTACATCCTATCAAGACTGAGGGACTGACTACATCCTATCAAGACTGAGGGACTGACTACCTCCTATCAAGACTGAGGGACTGACTACCTTCCATCAAGACTGAGGGACTGACTACCTTCCATCAACACTGAGGGACTGACTACCTCCTATCAAGACTGAGGGACTGACTACCTTCCATCAAGACTGAGGGTCTGACTACCTCCTATCAAGACTGAGGGACTGACTACCTTCCATCAAGACTGAGGGACTGACTGCCTCCTATCAAGACTGAGGGACTGACTACATCCTATCAAGACTGAGGGACTGACTACCTCTTATCAAGACTGAAGGACTGACTACCTCCTATCAAGACTAAGGGACTGACTACCTTCCATTAAGACTGAGGGACTGACTACCTCCTATCAAGACAGAGGGACTGACTACCTTCCATCAAGACTGAGGGACTGACTACCTCCTAACAAGACTGAGGGACTGACTACCTTCCATCAAGACTGAGGGACTGACTGCCTCCTATCAAGACTGAGGGATTGACTACATCCTATCAAGACTGAGGGACTGACTACCTCTTATCAAGACTGAAGGACTGACTACCTCCTATCAAGACTGAGGGACTGACTACCTTCCATTAAGGCTGAGGGACTGACTACCTCCTATCAAGACTGAGGGACTGTCTACCTTCCATCAAGACTGAGGGACTGACTACCTCCTATCAAGACTGAGGGACTGATTACCTTCCATCAAGACTGAGGGACTGACTACCTTCCATCAAGACTGAGGGACTGACTGCCTCCTATCAAGACTGAGGGACTGACTACCTCTTTTCAAGACTGAGGGACTGACTACCTCCTATCAAGACTGAGGGACTGATTACCTTCCATTAA